TTCTGAGTCTGTTTCGCTTCAGCACCGAGTTCAGGAACAAGATGGTGTTGCCGTTGTTGGCGCTGTTTTTAGGAACGGGGAACCAGACCCCGAATGTTCCGGGTGCTTTACTGGAGCGACTGTTCGACGATCGTAATATGAGGCTGTGGGACTATGATCCTGACACACTGCTCCCTAATCAGCCCACCATGTACACCTTTCCGAATCTGAGCGATTTCTACCGCGACTGGGCGCAGGACCTCGGCGCGAAAGGCGTGCATCTGCGTCTCAAGACCCGTGTGGACATTATCAAGCGCGACAAAGATGGTGTGAGTCTACGACCACGTCCAGCAGTCGAGACAGAAAGCGACACTAGCGCAGTAGCAGATGCGACGACGGAGGAATTCGACGAGCTAGTACTCTGCTGTCCGGCAGACGAAGCTAAGACCCTCCTCGGCGAACATGCAACCTGGCGTGAGAAATACGTCCTAGGCGGTGTTAAATTCTTCGACGATGTAACAATCACACACTCCGACTCCAACTACTTCAATAGCATCTTCGAAACCAGGTACAAAACCGATCTAGCCGCGAAGGCGAGCACGCAATCTCGCCAGGACCAGCTCGCCAGTGCACAACAAACCCCGCGTATCCGGAAAGACGGATGGGAGGGCTTCGCACCGATGTACTACATCCACTCCTACAAGTCTGAGCCGGACAAGATCGAGATGGGATTCGACTGCACAAACTACCAGCACCAGTTCCGGGAATCCTTCGGCGAGAATGCAGTTACGCCAGAGCCAGACCGACATGTGTATCAGTCAATCTTTCTGAATAAGGACCAGAAGCATCTATGGACATGGGATGGCATCGACGAGTCGAAGATTATTGGGCGAAAGTGGTGGCATCAGTTTGGCCACCGCTGGCAGCATTATGTGCGGGTCGTGCCGGGGATGATGTTCATCAATGGGAAGAATCGGACGTTGTATGCCGGTGCCTGGACTATGGTTGTGAGTTCATTTTTCTTCCTGGCAGTTTGGGTGGTACTAATGAGGACAGAATATGCATGAGATTGCTTGCGTTTCTGGAATTGCGGCGGCGTATAGGCTTGGAGCGGAGTATGAGGCGTTCGATGATTTTGCGGAGGACTTTCTCGCCAAGTATTTGTTGCTTTCGCATGGAGTGCGATATAAGAGGAGTAATGGTTGCTCTTAATGGCTTTAATCGGTCTAGACTTTGTATACGTGAATAGATGGACTTTGTATAGGATATATGGCGTTGGACAGGGAGGGAATTGTCATAACATGAGGACTGACACTGGATCATACTAATACTAGTCTCAATATACTATTGCAATATAATTTGTTTCAACAAGCCACAAGTGCCAAGTCAGTTTCATCGGCAACTGCATCAATAAAGCTCCCAACATCGACTCCAAACCCTTTAATGTGATCGAACACCACGCGAAACCACTGCACCTCGGGGAGATTGTAGTACTCAAAGTATCCCAAGGCAATGGATATAGGAAACGCAAGACTGCATGAGGCTAGCGACACCGTCTCCGGTCGCAGGAAATACTCCATTGACTTGGCGATGTCCACCGCTATCCCGTGCATTCTCGTTATGTTGCAAGGAAAGGGGGGGAGTGTAGGCTTGAGTCCCAACTCTTTGCCCATTAGACATTCTTGGTAGACCATGCCCAGGTTACTAAAGAGGAGAAGATGGGTCGTCCAGTAGAAGAGTTGAATGCGGCCGGTTTCGGGGTTTGGGAAGACGATACATTTTGCAAAAGGGGTATAGAGCTGTGTTGTCCTTTGGGTCTTGTAGAGGTCTGAGGGCTGTTCCCAGTATAACGGGCCGGGGTTATGGTGCTTGTATGTCTCGTACCAAGTGTCTAGGCGGATTGCAAAATCTGAATAGTTGTCACAAATTTTGGCCAGCTTCTCGTATTTTTCCAGTGGGTCAGATACGGACACAACCGTATCCATTTGCTGGAGGAAGCCTGGGACCTCAGTTAGGAGATCTAGTAGATATTGTTGTGGGCTTTTAGCGTAGCCTTTCCAAGGCAAGGAGGTCCACTCCGGTGATGCGAGGAATGTGGGTTTCCTTGTTCCGATGCAGTGGACAATCTGTGGTTGTATTAGGTTGTGAATAGGTCGCTCCATGGCATTTATACATACTGCGAACGTTCGGAGTCCCTCGAAAAGCCCATGCTTCACCGTTGACCATTCGGCACTGAAGCCCTGAGACTGGACCAGGGATAGAGCAGCCTGAGTGTGGCTGGCCCAGCCCAGACCCCGACTCGACGACCCCTCCATTGTCTAACAATTATCAGTCGAACAATCTGGACCAAATGTACTATGCCCATACATACCTCATAGGTAGCCAAGAACATCATGCTCGCTAAAACCTCATCCTCCAGCCCACCCGCCCCGGTTTGGATGCGGGTGCGAAGCTGGTTCAGCGCTAACGAATAAGCTTGGGAACTCAGTCGGTTCATGCGATCATCATTGTAAGTGCGACCGACTCGAGCTGCACCTAGCGCAAGAAACACCGATCGTAAGCTCGGTTCACGCAGGTCCAAGCTCGGCACCAAGGCCATCCAATCAAGATATCTCCCGAAGATATCAAGTCCCGAGCGAATGACGTTATCCAGGAAATATGAGCCACAGTAATCAGCTACTGCAGAGCGTTGGAGCACCAGTGTCTGCGACGAGAGACTCTTCCCGGCATCCAGACGACATAACCCTTTCCTCGCCCCACTAGCCTTGCCTGGGTTTGGGCTGGGAACTCTCGCTGAAGACGTGTTGACGAACTTGTAATTGCGCACGTAGCCCGGGCATTGCTCATTTCGCGACAGACATTGTCCACAAGATGGTCGCTGCCCATCACACTAGCGGACAATAAGCACTGCGCATTTTGCTTCCAGATTCAGCGACTCACGCTCTTCTTGCGCTTCCGACACGCATGACAGCCCTTGGAACCGCCTGCGACTCGCACCATACTTATGAAACGCCGGCCGAAGTAAAGATCTGATGGTGCCACCTTACGGGAAACGGGTATCAGTCATTGTCATAGTGGAAGTCATTTTATCGACGAGTGGGGCCGGGGCTTAGCATGTAGTCTAATACGAGGCTGACCCGAACTTGATAAGGTGCTGGGCTGGCGCATAACATTTCCTGGATCGGTTTAGTAGGTTCTTTTGTAGCTATCCGATTGGTAATCCGTTCATGATCTTGAGTTTAAATGCGGGTTAATTATAGCTGTTCTCCCCATCGATATGGGAGCCTAGAGTCGAGAGATCATGACAAACTCTATAGTTTCTGCGCCAGACGTTGGCATGTAGACTACTCAATTTCGAGACTTCTTATTTGCTGGTTTGCATTTGTAAAACAAGCGATGTCTGAATAGCTTCGCAGCCTCCACGTCCAATCCGACCATCACAAATCCAGTAATCTTATGCGCTTAGGACGCAGATGCCTATATTAAGTCTACAGGTCATAGCAAACCACCCATGAGAAAAGGATATAAACTCCAAGTATGCCCTCACCTTCTCTACTCTGCAGCGCTACTCGACAAATCCACCAGCAACCAACATGCCCTCACCAACCCCAAACGCCTTCGTGCGCCGCGCACGCAAGATCTATACCCCCCTAGGCTTCAAAAAAGGCTACAACTTCACCCTCTGTAAGCTCCCTACCAACCCATCAAACAAAGTCTAACAGTCCAGTCTTCATCTTCGGCGGTGCCTGGCTCGGCTTCACCCTCGCACGTCTACAATTCCTCAACTTCTCCATATTCTGCCAAGAGGCCTCCCCCGGCGAATGCTTCTACTACAAAGACCTAGGCTACGTGGGTTTATACCTTCATCTCGGCTGTATACTACGTAAGCACCCATCCACCCCTCAAGTACACTTAGTAGTACTAACCCACACAAGCGGGCGCACTCCTCGCCTTCCTCCAATTCATCCCAGCAATCAGATACAAAGCTATAATCATCCACCGCATAAACGGATACATCATCATCCTGCTCGTGATAGCCTCCAACATCGGCGCTCTAATGATAGCAAGACACGCCTTCGGCGGACTAATCTCCACCCAAGCGGCAGTCGGCTTCCTAGTCATCCTCACCACCACCGCGATGGCAATAGCGTACTACAACATCAAGCGACTCCAAATCGAACAACACCGCGCCTGGATGCTCCGGTCCTTCTTCTACGTATGCATATCTACCCCACTCCCTCTTACTCCAGGATTATTATAACTAACCGGGAAAAATAGATGGGCAGCATAATCACCGTCCGGATAATCCTAATCACAGCTGCAGTGATCATCTCCAAACAACCCTACTTCATGTCCCAGCCCTGCGATAAAATAGACTACCTGCTCGGGGAACAAGAAACGCTGCAGCGGTACCCCGTCTGCGGAAGGTACTATAACGGGTCACAACCGGACCAGCATGTCTCGGTTCTAGCCAATTTCAACGGATATGTGGATCAGATCGCTAGTGCGCTGAACGCGAACTTCGGGATGGCGCTTTGGTTGGCTGTCGCGATGCATGGGATTGGGGTGGAGGTATATGTGAGTTATTCATTTTACTCTATGCTACTTGAATATATATATATATATATATATATGGAGGTAGGAACAGGCTGATTGTTATAGCTGCAATTGACGCCGAGAGAGTCGAATCGGTTGAGAGAGGTGTCGTATCAGCGGCAGTTGGAGGCTGGGTTTGAGAATCCCGGACGAGCTGGGCTTACAGTCGATAAGATTGGAGATGGTGAGTTGTGGGTACCGGGGAAGACTGGAAATACTTGATTTGGCTCATATAGAGTAGTATCTGAGGTGGAGGGAGGAGTTATTTAGCGAGGGCAATATCCGCTTTGTAGGGTTTGTTAGTCAGATGGACAAAATACATGAATTTAAGTTACTCTTCGCAAACAACAATTGTTCGTTGCATGCAAAAGAACATGCAGCAGATCTGTATTCATTTTGAATTAGAAATGAGGAAAAAGAAAAAACACCCGATGCGAGGCTCGAACTCGCGACCCTTAGATAGATCTTTACTTTCGTAAAAGTCTAATGCTCTTCCGACTGAGCTAACCGGGTTTAGATAATTATTGTCTCAAAATGTAGTCCTATGTACACTGTTCATTGGCGCATTGATTGTTGTCAATGTCGTAGTAACCAAACGAAGATATCGAGGCATTGAATAAACTCGAATAAATTCTTTCTTCCATATTTTGACACAGTCAAGCTGACATTTAAATACCCTTTAATCAAACCTTACTAATGATGTATTCTTCCATGAAAGCATATTATAAACCTTGGTTAAGAATTGAGTGGTATTTCCTTCCGGTCCAGCCTTGATAAATATACATACAGCTCGGAGTCATCTCATAATGATAGTACTAACATAGTGACCCCAACAAACAACGGTATTGACATACTATGACAAATTCAATGGCCAAAAGAAACAGTCACGTTCTTAGCCTCATCCTTGTGCTCCTTCTGCCATTGTTTCGAGTATCTCACCCCGAATCCCTGACTAAAGACGTCTCGGATAGCCTCCAGCGGCATACCCTTGCATTCGGGGAAGAAGAACATGACAAAGACCCAACCGGTGAAACAGATACCGGTGTAAAAGCCAAAAGCGCCGCTCGGTGTAATACCTTTCATCATTGACAAGAAGGTCGAGGAGATGATAATGTTCGTGCTCCAGCATGTTACAGTGTTCTGTGTATCATCAATTAGCGACTGAAACTATTAATTTCGAGGTTAAAATCTTACCAGCATGGTTCCTACGGCTCGCACTTCGAGCGGAATCAGTTCGGTTCCGATCCACGCGATGGTTGCCACGCCTGACGAATAGCAAGCAACGTAGCAGATGATGGTGACGAGAACGAGAATGCCGGGCCAGCCGACGTTGTCGCTTTCGACTTCGAGAGTGTCAAGATTCACCGGGATATAGCTGAATGAGACGGATGCGATGAGCATGCATATCGCCATGCCGAGGACGGTGGTAGTCAGGATGATGCGCCGGCCGAATTTGTCTACGAGCACGAGGTTTACGATGGAAAAGACAAAATTTGTGCCTGACACCGTAATGCCGACCGCGGTGGGATTATCGAATCCGACAATGCCGAATAGTGTAGAAGCATAGTACATTAGGGTATTGAAGCCCCCGAGTTGGCTGATCGCCATCACGACACACGCTGTCAGAACCGCACGGCCGGTTGCTGGGGTGGTGAAGACACGCTTCAAAGTAACCCAAAGAGACTCTTGAACCATGGTCTGCGTGGCTTCCTGAAGAGACAATTCAATTGATCGGATCTTCGCGTAGCGCTGTTCAGGCGTGGATGTGGGGTAGATCCTTTGGAGCACAGCATCGGCGGCTTCGGCTTTGTCATGAGACACCAGCTGTCTGGGAGACTCAGGGCAAAGGAAAAGTAGCCCTGCCAGAATAAGAGCTGGTGCGGCTCCGATGCCGACCGTTGCTCGCCATGCCTCTCCCTTGACTTGGGCGAAGCCAGCCCCAATTGCGCTGGCCAGCAATTGACCAAACGTCACACTCATATTATTGAAGGCGACCATGCGGCCACGATACTTCGCGGGCGCGATCTCACCAACTGTATACAGTTAGATAAAGCATAGTATATACTATCGATGAACATACTGTAGAGAGGGACAATCATCGCGGCGCCGCCGACTCCTAAACCCACGACGAATCGCCCAACGGCAAATTGCGCGACCGAGTATGAGCAAGTTTGAATAACGGTGCCCAGCACGAACAGTATACAGGATCCCCAGATGGGCCAGCGACGGCCGAATCGATCAGCAGTGAGACCAGCCCCTACTGCTCCGACCAATGCTCCGCCGCTTGTCAAGGATGTGACTAGTTCTTGTTCACTGGAGCTTAATGTATGCCCAAGCGACGTTCCAATGGTGACCAACACGGAGGAAATATACCCAGTATCGTACCCTATTCGCGATACAATTAGCTTGCGTCCGTATACTTCTTAGATGACGTACCAAAAAGGAGACCTCCGATTGACACAGTCACGGAGATCAACCAAGCGGCTTTTGAAGCGGCAGCATCCTCAATTCCACTCAGATCGGTGGCATCTTCGACATTTCCCTTTGCGCTCTCCAACGAATCCACGTGTTCCAGATGCTCGTCATTGGGTTTATCACCAGAGTCATCGGGTTGCTTCAGCGACATGGTGTAGTGTTACTAACTCGGACCGAAAGAATAGATGCCGATGTATGATATGCGTGAAGCTATTGGTCCCTTTTGGCCTGCAAAAATAGAAACAAAAAAAGAGAACAAGAAACAAAACCACGATGAACTGTCACCCAAATTGAGAGGTGGGTAATCCGCGTGCCCGTGGAGAAAACCCACAGGAACCGGGGGGTAAACGAGGCCTTTTATTTCCCCAGATTGTCGTCATGACTCTGGGTCGGTTCATGCCTTATCCACCGTTGGGGGCGCATATTCCCTTTCCCCGTGGGGTAGACACAGGACCAATCATATGCTGTTTCCGCGTAGACGAAGGTATAAAGTCAACATGGTTGTCTGACTATCTCCTGAAATGGGCTAAATCAACGATCAATAACCGATTAAGTTGATAGCCGATTTGACCAGGATGCAGAGTGTTACGTTGACGGGACAAGTTACCTAAATCGCAATGCCTAGACTCTCTTCCTGAGCACTGGTTGGTGCATACCCCAGATCGCCATGTGTCTCCGCATTGATAGGTGTCTGGGGTTTAACCTTAACGGTGCTCACCCCACAAATACACGCTCAACGGGGTATTTATTTCCAACGGAGTAAATTTCCCTTTTCCATATTTCCTCGGTGTCACCGCTGAAAAAGGGACAAACCTTCGCAGGGTCAAGCCTTGAGCTCGGTGCCGAGAGGGTTCGGGAGGATTTCAAAGACGGGCCAAGATTCTCATGCGCCGGATTCGGACGGGATCCAATAAAATAGATGTTGTACGTTGCCAGATGACATCATCTGCTTTGTTAGGCCGTAATTGCCCAGTTCTAAACTGCGGACTTATCCGCTGGTCAACCGCTAGGTTGAATAGTGGGGGATGTTATGGATCTTCACTCTTTGGAAGTGTAGATACGGATGACAGGAGTTGACCATAGCAACTTTGAATTTAATTCCCTCAACAACACCAGATTCTTACACTTGGCGTGAGGATACATCAAACGCCGCCTTTGAACCTTCAGAAGATAGTAAAAATGAAGCTATCACAGTTGACATAGGTGCCACTGCCGGTGATGTCTGGAACGGTGATCGCGGTTGAACACTTAAATGCAAAATATATACTTGTGACCAACGGCTACGACGGCTTCTGAATATCATCATGGCGTTATTATCTGGACTCTGGGGCCGGTGCTCCATGTTCAACCCGGGAAGAAAATGCCCGATTTTGCAGTATAGTATCAAAGTTTATCAAATCGATTGAATCTTGGAATTCTGATTTAGTCAGGGAATCAGTTGGTACAATGAATACGAAGTCATTGTGCTGACAACATAAAACAGAGCGAAGTGGATCTGGGGCATATACTAGTTCGCGATAGCTCATAAGCAATGAAGAAGACAAACTGAGCTAGGGTTAGTAACGATTAAATAACATCTCGTGATTGGTCTCGTGATTGAATCTGTTATCTTGTCATGTGTTTCCTCTTTAGGAAACCCGCGAATGACCGCGGAATTTGTCAGCATTCTGCCACCGCCCTTATCCTGCTCAACAATCTGTTGTTGCTTTCATCTTTCTCCCATTGCTCTCTATCCAGAAAACCAAAATATATCAGGAACTCAACTGTAATAATCATACCTTATCTGGGGTATATGGCGGGAACCCGACAATCGACGACCTCGGGGTCAAATGCGCCAAAGCGAGCCCGTTATCAGACGAGGCGGGCGAATACACGGAAGCGTGCCCACGAGGATGTTGATTCCCCGGAAAGAAGTCCACCGGTAAATGGTCAGGAAAAAACACAGACTACCACCAGTTCTAACTCTGGAGAACCGATGTCCTCAATTCTGGCACGGTACAAAGCCTGGCGCAGTAAGCGGTGATCCAATGACTTTCTAGCGCATTTGTGCTGACCAATGGCATGAAGAAGCCGGGAGTCCGCATGATTTGCTCTGCTTCGAATGTTATCAGCCAGACAGTCTGATCCCATGCGACACGTGTCGTCGAGTCTATCACGACGCATGTAAACCGAATGATAGTGCTCAACGAGAACGCAACAGCACGTCGTTATGGTATTGTCCGGTCTGTGTGCAGCGCGGATGGCATGACACCCCGCCTATGATAACACCTCCGGCTTCACCGGTTCTAACCCCTGCGTCAAATGTGGAATCTACTCTGGATTATGTTCGATCGTCTGCTTCGGCTCCCGTGGTACATCCTTCCGAGAAAGACGGGCCGTCTATCAGAAATGCTGACCCACTTGTACCTTCTGCGCAGCAAGCTACGGCTGGATCGCACCCACAGTTATCATATGCCGCAAATCAGGACCCGACTCGTACAGCGAAACAGCCAGACAGAATCCAACAAAAGTGTGCGACCAAACTGTCAACCGCAGATTTGGCTCCTAGGAAGTCCCGGTTTAACACCCTGCCGCAAGAAGTTGATTCCGCGTTATGGGTTGTGTATCGTGAGCTTGAATCTGTTCCTTTACTGCGACAGAGGATCACCGATCTGGAGTCCGGCATGTCTTCCCTACGCCAGGAGCTAAACATCTCTCGGAATGAGGTTGCGCTGTCACGAAAGATCGTTGAACGAGCGCGTTCCTCAGAGATGGAACTGGAGAAGCTCAAAAAAGGCGCTGCCAATCAGCTGACCGCCGCCAACGAGGTGGAAACCTTAAAAACAAGGAATCAAGAATTGGAGACAGAGGTAGCGCGCATGCATGCAGAGCTCGGCGCGTCGACAAAGACACTGGAAGAATGGAAACAAAAGCTGTCTAGTCTGATTGGTGCGTGATGCGTGGTATCCTACACTATCGGCAATCCTCGGCTGCGTGAAACCCTGTCATACTACGTTGACTCGCATTTACGGATTGGCACAGAAGCTGTCATAGCGTAT